GGTCAGTGGGGGTTCCCTGGATGTCTGTTCATGGGGTTGGATGATGGGGATGAGGGCATGAGCAATTCAATGTTGTGCTTCTGCCTCTAGTACCTGTTGAAAAAGCAGTCATCAGAAATGTTCCAGCTTGTGCCATAGAAATCTCTCTTATCTCTGGATTCAGTGATATTGCTAGGTTTATTTTTCTTGTCATTTATCTCCATGGGCATTAACATGCAATGATGAAATAAGGCAAAGAAAGTATTATTAGTCTACCATTATGTTATAATGAAAGACTTTAATTAAAAATTTGTTACCTTTGGTAATAAAGATCTGGAGTCTCTTTATCACCATCTGTTAAATATTGATCAAAGTTCAGCCAATCAATTATCTTTTAGATTTCCCCATTCAGAAAACCTTTGAATTCAGAAAACCTTTGAACTCAGATCAAATTTGTTGTTAAAATAAAGGCTCATGGTCTATATATTGAAATGACTCATGTCTTCCAGCTTTACCACTAGATATCAATATTTATGAGTTAGCTTATTTTTCTGAAACTAGACATGCACTGGTTTGTAAGTGATAATTTATTGTTTTTCACTTGGGCATTCTGCTGCCTTTTCCCTGCTAACACCCCAACCTCTGCCTGGGAATTAATGTCATCACAAATGGGCTCCGTCTCAATCTAATCTTCTCTACCATGACCCAGGCTTCAGCTGTTTATGTATTTCTTGAAGCATTTAAGTATGTATTTCTTAATTTCTAAATTTCTTAAAGTATGTATTTCTTAAAGTATGTATTTCTTAATTTCTTAATGTATACCTTTTGTTTATACACTATCATAGTCGAAAACATCAGCCATTCATTATATAGATGATGTTTTGCTCTGGATAATTACAGAGCATGGGCATATTGGGTTGTTTATCAGCATGAGACCTTTACAATTAATCTATTGTACTGCATTTTCAATAGATGATTTTTTAAAACTTGTGTCCATGAACGTGATAAAATGGCTTCATGCCTGATAGCACAGATTTTCTCAACTCTGTTGTCATACATGCTTGCTTGAAACCATTACGTGCTTGCTCGAACATAATCCTTGGATTTGTGCTTGTTTTCTTCTGGAAAGGCTTTCTTAGAATTTTATTATGCACCAGCTTATTTATCCTTCAAGCAAAAACAAGCCAGTCATCCAAGAATCTGTTAAGCACCTTCACATTGGTCCATTCAAATCTGCAGGCTTTCAGCATTAACCCATCGCCACAACAGTCTTCATGAAACAGCACATCAAATGCTTGGCAACAGGATAAAGCCATCTGGTGAAGGGTGAATAGTGATTATAGTCTATCCAAATTTGCCTTCTCATCAACAACAACACTATCATCTCTTTTACCCTTATAATCAATCAAAGCTTAGAGAAGGATAAAAAATACACAGATACGACCACCAGGATTTTGGTTTTTCTTCTTTTGCACATATAAACAAATTGACCTTATGAAAATTTCCTCTGTAATAAAGACCTGTATCTCTCAGTTCATGGATTTCCAGTTGCAGAGGAGATGGGATATTCTGAGTTGCCTTCTCAACAGGAAGCCTCTTAAAGCTAAAGACAAGATGGTTTCACAGGAATTCTTTGGAGTAACTATTTCTTGATGCATTTGGTGGACTTCCAGCGTCCTCATATCCATTTCAAGAACCACAAAGCAATATTGAAGAGTGAATGACAATGTGACTTTAACAGAGCTCTTGTCAGTTTCTTGTGCTGCTGTTCCTGTAAAAATACTTCTCTAATCATGTGGCCATGTAGTGTGCAGATGAACTAGATTCTCAGTCTTGGTCTGTGCATGGGGATCACCTGATGCCTGAGTGACAGCCCTGAGGTGGTTTTCCCATTTGGTTCTATTGTGAAGCCGGCATTGATGCTCCAAGTGTAGTGCAGAGACCATGTGAAGCATCATATGAAGCTTGTTACATGTTCAGAATCTGTCCTCCCCGAGACCTACTGACTCGGAGTCTGCCTTTGTACAAGATCCCGGGGAATTTGTATGGACATTGCTATTTGAGAATCACACAGGTAGAGCACTACTTCCCAAAACATACTACCTGTATGAATCACCAGCTAAGCCAAACTTAAAACATCAGAATTTTCAGGAATAGAGCCTCAGATTCCATATTCACAAGCATATAAATCCATTAATAATAAGACTTACATTCTTTCAGCCGTGACAAGCTTGTGGATAGCAGCATAGTCTAACATCTCCCAAGTCTCCTTGATAAATAAAAATCACCCAGAGGAGGAGCTCATTTAAAAACATTCCCAGGCTACTTCCCAGAGATTTTGTTTCAGTTGGTTTTGGGATGTACTCCTGTACTCCTTCCTCATACACGTGCACAACTGATTCTTGTGAAATCTGGTAGACATAGGAGTGATCTACAGCAGAGGCTCTTAAATGCTGGTGTGCAACAGAATTATCTGGAAAGCATGCTGAAAATACTGATTCCTGGATCCTATGAAAATAAAGACCACCCAAATGAGAACTCACTGAGGCTATTCACTAGAGACTGCTATAGTAAAAGAGTCAGCCATCATCACTTGCCTTTGGCAGAAACAAAGGCAAGCAGGACAGTGTTAAAAGCCTTATAGTAAGAAATGGAAGGAGTTGTATATGCCTGATTGGAAGTTGTTGGCATGAGGAAGCTGGTGGCTAGTTAACTAGAAGGGAGCATCCCATAAGAGTGGTTAAGAGAGTGTATTTGGTTATCTCATTACTGTAAGTTGGAAGTGAGGATTTCCAACTTAGCAAGTGGGGACAAAAATTAGGGAAGCCAGCAGTTGCTGATTAAATCCTGGCAGTTTGGGCTAATTGCTATAGAAGTTGTGGTTTAGCTTCCTGGACTGGTTGCTATGGATGTTGTGGATCAGAGTTCTTTTCACATATGGTCTGGCCATTGGCTGCATGTTCATTCTCTCAACAGCCCCCCACCCCCAACCCCATTACTAAATAGAGCAATGAACCCATGAATTCATGATCATTGGTATTCTAATAAATGCCCCAGGTTCTCAGATTAATGACCTGCCTGTCTAGAGGTATCCTGATTTCTATGTTATTATCATAACACAGTTTCAAAAAATGTCAGATAACTTTTACCCCTACTCTGGCCTGCACACACTATTTGAAGGAAGAACTTAATTGTAAGGAAATTCTTGGCAGCTTTTCATCATTTATACACACACCTTTAGCTACATAATGGGTGGTGGGCATACTGACTGAATTCCATAGTTGTCAAGCATTCTATTTTGGGGTAGGACAGAGGAAGGAAAATGGAATAAAGACATCAGTATACCTTTCAGTAGATTGTATCTAATAATAGAATTATCTAAAGACCAGATATGAAGTTCTCTACCAAATAATTATCAGAATTTCTTACACAGCTTCCATGATCAGATGAAGCCTCCAAGGGGGGCAGGCTCTTAGGTAAGTCCTGGTGGAAGCCTGTGTGCTTTGAAAAAGGTACTGATGATGCTCTTCTACACCCCTTTGTTGAGAACCATTGATGTAGAGGATGTAATAATTCAGGGGTTGCAAAGTCCAACACCCACATGGCAATGAAGGTAATGTGAATTAGTAGGATGACTAGGTACCCAAAGCTATTCTTTTGACACAGACCCAACTTGTTTGTTTATTAAACACATGAATTTTTTTTCACTTGCACAAATAAACATGATCTGTCATTTATCTTGGGGGAAAAAACATTTCTCAGCATGCCTTTCATTTTCCCACTTGCAATATATGATATTTCACTATTACCGAGAAAAATAGCAGCATGAGTTTGATGCTAAATGGCAAATGAAATTCAATGTCAAGGAAAGAGCTGTGAATGATGGAGCTAAGACAGACTGCAGGGTGGACAGCTGCTACTCAGCTCTAGGCAATTGGAGTTTGTGGGAAATATTAAAAAATTGCTGTCTTACCTGATTTTATCTTCTGAGTTTTTATATGAAATCACCTGATCTTTAAAAGTTGCCTTAACTTGTTTTAAGATTGAAGGACAAATAAGTTTGATAAACAGGACACAGACCCCCAAGCAACCTAGTTTGCAACATTGACATTGCAGCATCATTTGTAAACAAGTAGTTAGCAAAATGTCCCCCAAGCAAATGTACCTCTTCCCCAAAGAGCACACCCAAGAGCAGGAACACATCAGTCCCACACAACCCCCATTTCCAACCATAGTTTGTTATTTTTACAGTGGAACTCAAGCTTGTATATCACATACAACATGTCATAAGAAAGTAAAAATGTCAGCCAGATCTACTCCCAGCCTCCTTTTCTATGATGAACTCAATCACTTTCCTTTCTCCCTTTCCCCTGAAAATTCACAACACTCAGTGATTAGGCAGCCCAAGCAGGGAAAATAAGGAATGAGAAATCACCCATTTCTTGTCCACACTTACACATAAATTATACATCTTAAGTTTAGTTTAAATGATATAGAATCAGCATTTTCTAATTCATCTCTAGGTTAAAGAAAAAAGTATTTACATTTCCCAATGTCTTCATATTTATTTAGACTCAGTAGACTCACATTTGGGTCAGTATTGGGTGGCCGTTGCTTTTGCGAATCATAAAGAAAAGGTTGAAATTTTTTAATTTTTTTTTTATAAAATCTATAAGAGAAGCTGAAATTGCTGATGATTTCAAGTCTTTTCAGAATCAATCAGACTCAAGCAAAAGTAGGCTGGAAGATAGAGGGTGGGTGGCTTAATGAGACTAATATTTTTTGGTAGAGTATTTGATTAAAATTGATATTGTGAGTAAAATGGTTGATTCATTGGAGAAACACTTTGACAGGTAACATCTTTTTTAGAAATCATGATGCAAATCTGAATAATTGTGTGAATTAATTCATATTCCCAAGTAGTGAGATGTCAATTGGAACTTCTGTCAGTCCTCATGGAGGCTTTTGGAAAAGTATTCCTCACCAGCACCTTCTTATTTTTCCTGATCTATTTCTCTAGCGCAGGTATGTAACTTACATGGTGCAACCCAAGACTGAACCACTACCTCCAAGACCAGTGATGCCAGAGATAAGGTGAGCTGCAATCCTGAATCTAAGTGACACATAACACAAGACTGATTACTTGACAGGGTGATAATTTGTATTAGCTAAAATCTTAACTGGCTTAATGTGATTTACTCAGGAGTTGTCTGGTTTGAAAAATAATATATCATGAATTCTTTATTTTAAAATAAAAATGGAATACATGATCTTTATTTCTAACTATTCTCATCTTAATTTGAAAGATTAAATAAATCTCTGAAGATAGGAAATGCTTTGATACGCATCCTCAAAATTTTATTGAGTAGGTTTTCACATGATTACTCAGGCCAATAATCCTGCAGTCTTGTAACAATCAGCTAGGTCCACTATTCACCATTGAAAATGGCGAGCCAGGGAAGAATAGATGTGGAGTTTTTAGAATTAAATATATTTATGCATTATTAAAATGGTCATCCTACCAAAAGCAATATACATATTCAATGCTATTCCAATCAAAATTTAAATGTCATTCTTCAAAGAAATAGAACAATTATTGATGAAATTCATATGGAACCACAAAAAAACCCGAATAGCCAAAGCTCTCCTGAAAAAAAAAGAAGGGAATGGAGGTATCACACTCCCAGACTTCAAACTATACTACAAAGCCATAATCATCAAAACTGCATGGTATTGGAACAAGAACAGACACACAGACCAATGGAATCAAATAGAAAATCCAAAAATAAACCCACAGGTTTATGATCAACTAATCTTTGACAAAGGAGCAAAGAATGTGCATTGGAGCAAAGAAAGTTTGTTCAATAAATGGTGCTGGGAAAACTGGGTCGCTACATGCAAAAGAATGAAGCTTGACCACTACCTCACACCATACACAAAAACCAACTCAAAATGGATTAAAAAACTAGACATAAGACCTGAAACCATAAAATACATAGAAGGAAATATAGGCGAAACACTACGTGATATTCACATCAAAGACATCTTTATAAACACATCACCCAAAGCAGTGATAGTGAAGGCAAAGATAAACAGCTGGGACTACATCAAATTAAAAAGCTTCTGCACAGCAAAAGAGACAATAACAAAAACAAACAGAAACCCCACCAACTGGGAGAACATTTTTGCACACAACACTAATGATAAAAGACTGATCACAAAAATCTGCAAAGAGCTGATGAGACTCAACAACAACAAAGAAAAAAATCCAGTCAAAAAATGGGCAGAAGAGCTAAAAAGAAACTTCTCTGAAGAGGAAAGGCAAATGGCCAACAGGCATATGAAAAAATGTTCAACATCACTTGTCATCAGGGAAATGCAAATCAAAACTACCATGAGATACCATCTTACACCAGTGAGAATGGCACATATTAAAAAAACTAGCAACAACAAATGTTGGCGAGGGTGTGGAGAAATCAGGATACCTCTGCACTGTTGGTGGGAGTGCAAACTGGTCCAACCACTATGGAGAGCTGTGTGGAGATTTCTGGACCTACTAAACATAGAGCTTCCATATGATCCAGCAATTCTACTCCTAGGGATTTACCCAAAGGACACAGAAACATCAATTCCAAAGAGCACCTGCACCCCTATGTTTATAGCAGCACTATTTACAATAGCTAAGCTTTGGAAACAACCCAAATGCCCAAAAATAGATGACTGGATCAAGAAGATGTGGTACATATACACCATGGAATATTACTCAGCATTCAAAAAAGATAAACACATGCAATTTGCAGCAACATGGATGGCGCTGGAAGGGATCATGCTCAGCGAAATAAGCCAGAAAGAAAAAGAAAAATACCGGATGGTCTCACTCATAGCAGGAATCTAGAAAACTTAAATAAGGGACCAGGAAAAAGAATAACTATAAGAAAGAAAATATCAAAATCAACAAATAACTATGAACAGGAGACACTCTATGGGGGTGGGGAGAGGGAAAGACACTATGGTGGGTGGGGTAAAAATAAGGGGGTTGTAATTGTATGGGGAATCTAAAAATAAAATTTAAATAATAAATAAATAAATAAATATGTTTATGAGCATTGATTTACCAAAAATTTAAAATTTAATAGGCCTAAAAATGAAAGGACACTATAAGTGCTTTTAGGAACTGTGAAGAACAAATGGTAATAAAACTGGAAAAGAGAGACCAACTAGATTAAAGTGACACACTATGATAGTTACATTGAACTGAAGTCATTAAAGAACAATCAGAACTGAGAAGAATCATCAAATATAGTGGGTCTAATAAAAAAGAGAGCCAGATATGGATAATCAACAAGCCATCATCAGCACGGGAGAGCAAACAAAAAAGATGCGCCAAAGAGTCAGCCGAGAGGTAAACTGGAGAATGTTCTATTACATTTAAAAATCTGTACAAATATCTTTCTCTTATTCAAAAGAAGGCAGTTTTCAATCTGCTTAGTATTTTGGGGTTTTTTTTTCCAATGATTATCAAGTTACAAAGTCAGACTTTTGAAGGAATTTGCCTAAACATATCATTAGCTCTCTATCCTGTCGTCTTCTTTCAAACGTTGCCATGGCACCCTTAGGATTAGGCACTGAAAAAAATAAAAATGCCAAGTGAGTATAGGGTAAAATCACATATATAAGCTTAAGTGTCATTTGTTGATGTATTGTCAGTAGCTCCTAAATTCATTCATCATGGATTATGTTACATCAGGGAGCTCTGCATACAGAGTTTACTGTACACAAGGGTGCAAATTATTAGCCCCCCTGGGAAATGCCATGAATTATGTAACTTTGGTCTTGGCTAACTATCCTCCCAACTCTTCCTCCTTTTATTCATCTCCTTCCATGTCAGTTCTACTGCATTTCAAAGCCTTAGACCCCATTCTCCTTGGGCCCTCTCCTCCGTTCTATGTCACGATTTTGCCTAAGTTTCCCCACCTCCAGCAAGCAGCTGGACTCAACCTAATGACCCACTCTTCCTTCCCATAGCCAGCTTTGTTGCAGGTGAATGGACAGGAGGAGCACGAGGGGAAAGAACAAGATCTTTGATCGCAGGCTTTTTTGTGTGTCTCTAAGGAGCTCTGTGACTCAGGAGATTTGGGTATTTGTGAGACTAGGATATTAGGTGTTTATTACTGATTTCTTATTTAAACTGATGTTTTCATAATTTAATTAAGCTTTTCTTTTCCTTATTAAGTTATGTTAGTTGCCTGCAAGGATGGGACGCGAGTGGAGAACATACTGGAAAATCACATTAGAGACCGTTTGCGGGCTTGTGCAGGAGTAAAATAACAAACCATTGAAATCACAGGGCCCCAAGCCATCTTGAGCAAGGGTCACAGATTTTGTCTGGCATCTGCAGTGGAGTAGGCCATAAAGCTTGTTAGATGAAGGTATTTCATGCCTGCCCAGAGTCTCAGAATATGCCACAGTTACCTTAGCCACCAGCAGACCCAGACAGTAGGTCAAGTCAACACAGAACTATCAGACATCAAAACAAATCCTTTTAACATTAGCAAACCTTTAGGAATTAAAAAAAAAATATATATATATACATGGTTGTGATGCCATATTTTAAGTCAATCACAGATTGCCTTGTGCTTGTTATGTGCAAGCATGTCTCTGAGCACCTCTGTGCATTCTCTTCTAAATTTGAGACCCCATTAAAAAGGGGCGGCTGACCCACTGTACAGACTACTTTTAAACTTTGATTACTCTTACATATAGGGAATAACATTTAAGATAAAGCTGTTGACCTTCATTTTCCTGTAGTTCCCAGCTGTTCGATATTTGTGTTACTCTTTATGGAGATTTGCAATATTTTCAGTAGCTAAAGTTAATCTTTCAACCTTAAGTAAAGACATCAATAGTAATAGACTCCATACTTCAGTTTTTTTCAGGAATTTGAAAGTAGAATCCAAACTTGTGCTTTGGTTCTTTGCTTTCAGTTGACAGATGGGACCAATTATTCGTTCCAGCCAGAGGAACAAATTTACCTTTCCTCCCCAAGCCCTTCTTATTGAAGTTAACTTTGAATTGCAGATTCTCTCTTGGCTGAAACTTCCACTGACACTGGGAAATACAGCAAGCAGAAATAAATAAAAGAAATCAAATTTACTCATGTTTGCTTTTATTTAATCTGCAGGATTAGCCCAAAACATGATGATTAAATCATCCTGATTATATTTGAGATCATCCCCAACTGCTACCTTCTACTCTTTTCTCTTTCCTGGAAACCTACTATTATACCACTTGTCTGTACTGAGGCTCCTGCTCAGACCTGCTTCCTCAGGAAGATCTTCAAGTGTCAAGCCTGGTTCTCCTTCCACCTTTTTCATGGCAGGGGAGTAGTCCAAATAGAAATTTTACTGATGATATAGTGATTATTTATTAAATATTGGCTCTGGAAGCCTCCCAACAGGATTTCAATTTCAATAAACATAATTACACTCTAAAGGAGTCTAGGGTCAATTGAGGAAATACTCTTCAGGGAGGCAGAGGGACCCTTAGGTTACCTCTAATAACCCCATGCAATTGAAAATGTATTCTATTTGCACCAGTCCTTTAGTCAATGCCCTTTAGAATGGCTATAAAGTCTCCCCTGTGTATCTCAGCCCACCCTCAGAAGCTTCTTTCTCTAACCTTTTCTTCCAGCAACCATTAGTACTCTTCCTCCCGTGTGGAGGTGCCCTGTACCGTGTTCATAAACTTACACACTCACTCCCATTTTCTAAGCACGCACCTCATGTTAGCAACATATAAGACTTTAAGAATGAAATATGAACAAGGATAGTTCCCATTCCCAAGGAACTCGCTATCTAGTGAATGAAGCTAGTGTGCAAATAAATAATCATTGCAATGTCCTGGTATCATGACAGGACTTGAACAAGGTCTTCACTCTGCCTGAGAGGTTAGGAAGATCTTCTCCAACAAGCTCTCATTGTCTCCATCATTATCTACTTTAAGTTGCTGCCTTCCCAAGTAGATTAGAAACTATTGTTTTGTTCATCACAGTGCCTAGCAAAACACTGCACATGCATTAACAATTCCATAAATGT